TATCGGGCCGGTCCCACATGAGCGCCAGCTGAAGCGGCTCCATGGGCAGCAGGCTGTCTTCGATGCCGGACTCTGTGGGTCGGCAAAGGCTAGAGTTAGCGGCTGCTGGACGCCGACGTTGAGCGCACTGTCCATCGCTTCAGATGTTGGAAGATTACTTTGAAAAGGTAAGACGCAAAATACGTGGCTGCGAACAAGCATGTACTTTCACTACCGAACAACGGGTATTGTTGGCGAGATTTACTTGGTGCCAGCCTTCATTAATGAGCTGTGTCGATGACTCGGGTTGGACGGGATGACTCATTCCAGTGACACAAACATCACTGGCCAAATGTTTACCTTTCATCAGCGCGTTGAGAATGACGGCATCGAGCTCCTGATCGCTGTTGAGATCGAACACGTTGATCAGATCCACGAACTCCATGCATTTCTCGAGTTCGTCGACATACCTGTGGAAATAAACGCAAGATCACCAAATGCCTAAGCTAAGAGCATTTCTATTCTCGTTGATGGATACGGGGAAGGTGAAAAATAAGCAAAACTTGCGTTTCTTTTCATCTCGAGCCACGTTTCTGTCAATATTACTATTGTTATTCGTGATGTAGGACCTGATGAGAATATTTATTACATTTTCGCCTTCTCTTCAACCATCCACGGGGAAAATCTATAGCCAATGGAAATGCCTTCTGCCCATAAGCGATCTTCTTTGCAGTTGCACTAACCAACTATGACATGTCATACAATGTACATGTCCAAAATACCTGCTTGCTGCGTAAAAAGATAACATTTGGTACCAATGCAAGGTGGATCCCAAACGGAAATGGCACGTGGATATATGTGTAATTGTGTATGAAATATTCAAATCCTATAGCAAAGCGACGCATTGCTTACAATACGAATAATTCGAAAGCTCTGTCATAATTCATCAGCCCAAGAGTAAATTACAGCTTTGTGAACATAGAATCCAAACGAATGGATCACTAAATCGTCGCACGTTATTAACTTTGCACCCAAATTGTGTCGTCGGTTTCATAATCCAAACATCAGGAGTGTAACTTGTTGGTCTCAAGATGGCACCAAAGACGGTACCAGTTGCTGCCACCGCCAGGCATTACATGCGCCCAGCTGATCCGCTTCTGCTCCAGGCAACCGAAGCCCGAGGAGCGGCTTGGCTTCTCAATACGTGCCTCCCGCTTCCATTACAAAGGACAACCCGAACCCGGCGCCCAACGCCTACAAAACCTCGCTGCCGTTCCCGGGCAAACGATGCTGCGCGTCGTTCTCAACGGCCGGGTACGGGGCGCTGGCGTCGCACGCGCGCCGCCTGCCGCCGCTCTACGTCGACAACGACGCGTCGCCGGCGGACGTGCGCGTCGACTACGACCGCTTCCAGGCGACGGACTTCAGCCGCGCGCCCGTGCGCCGCGCCTTCACTGGACCGCCGCAGACGGGCGACGAGTGGACCAAGAAGGCGTGGATCCCCTCACCAGACAGCTACTCGCCGGAGAAGAGCGCACAGTGGCGGCTGCGCGTGCCACCCGTGCGCTTCCAGTTCGAGTCGCGCACGCTGCGCGACGGCGACCTGCCGCGCCTGCTGCGCAACGCGCGCTACCCGGCTCCGAACCAGTACCACGTGGGGCCGGCCGAGCGCGACCGGGTGGCGCACGGCGCCGAGTCGGACTTTCGGCTGGGCGTGAAGCGCATCACGTGGCTGGACGACCCGATCCGGCGTGGCCGCACCACGCCGGCGCCCAACCAGTACTCGCGCTGCCACTCCGAATCGAGCCTGCTCGGCGGCGGCCGCTCGATCGCGCCCGAGGGTCCGGAGCCGAGCACGGAGGCCACTCCCGGGCCTGGACAGTACGAGGCCGGCGGCAGGCCCACCGGACCACTGCCCAGCTTCAACGTGCAGCGGCCGGCGTTCCTGTCGTCGGCGGCGCGTGCCGGCGACTGGGCCGACCCGCGCGGCCGGCCACCCGGCCCGGCTCACTACGACGTGCCGCGACTTTACGGCAATGCCGAGCTCGTGTTCAACTGGCGCCAACGGCTCAAGTGGATCTGAGCGGGCTGGCCGGTGTACGGGCGCGCAGGGTTTTGGTGTGTTGACGTTCATGGGCATGTCATTATGGTTACGGGCTTTGTCAAGGTGCTATGCAAATTGTGCGCTGTTTGTGAAGTCTGTCAACAAATGTCATTGATGTACGTAGTTGATACAATTGGTGGTAATCGATGCACCGCTTTTGGCCCGGAGTGCGTGATGCCTGCTTACGCAAAAAGCTGTTCCTTGCTTCCCCTGTGGATCTTGATGTAAGCATCTTCCAGCATTTCCTCCAGTTTTTTCTTCGTGTCGGAACGGAAGACCTTCCTTCCGCTGCGAGAGAACATACAGCCACTAATCATATCGTACGGACGTCACTTACACCAACGAAACAGCCCAAAGCAGAGTCCGCATTTGAAAAAATTAGTGCCCTAATGCAAGCATCCCGTGGTCTTACTCGACACTTAGAGAAAGTTGTGAACACATCTGAGAGGCTGCTGCAGTTCGCAATCAGTTCCATCGATTTACAATCTGCTTTGAAGATATTTTGCATACGGCCAACGGTTCAGGATATAAAGCCAAACACGCTCCTAACTTACTGGAGCTTAAAGTCGATCGACCCTAGTGGGGTCGGAAGACTTGGACCCTAGTGAGGTCAGTGTTATACTTCGCACATGTCATTGCGTGCACCCTATCTTAGTGCGCCTCCACAATTTTCCAGTAGCCGTCAAAAGGAAAATAAAGTATCATCTCTTCTGCTTTTTCCCCAGAGTTCCGGTGGCTTCAGCCGTAACAGATCTCATCCACTTCCGTCCCCGTTACCGCAACACTAGGTATCTACCAGTCGTATGTCAGTGTTGATGTGCAGTCTCTGGGTGGTGCCCAACATGTCATGAGGCGTAGCGTGACCTGAGGTGTGGCGTGACCTGAAACGTGGCGTGACCTCAAACGTGGCGTAGCCTGAAACGTGGCGTGGCCCGAGACGTGGCGTGACCTGCGATATGACGTCACCTGAGACGTGACGCCACCTGATATGTGGCACCATCTGGAACGTGACGTGACCCGAAGCGATACGTAACCTGAATCACGGAGGAGCGTAACCCAAGACGTGTTGTGGCCCGAGACGTGGCATGACCTGAGACGTGGCGTGACCTGAGACGTGGCATGACCTGACGGTTGACACTACACGTGATCTCACCGGCTGCGCTTGTACGTCTCGTGCTGGGCGAAGGCGATGATGTCGGCGGCACGGCCGGTGCCCTGGATGACGACCACTGGGATGCCGCGGCGCAACGAGTGCAGCACGTCCGTGATGACACCCAGGCCACCCTCCAGGATCAGCAGGATAACCGGGATGCCGAGCCCGCCCACGCCCGGGTCAGCGATCCGCTCCTCCAGGCGGGCCCTGGGACGGGAGACTGCTAACGGGACAGCTCCTCTAACCGGGACCTGGGACAGGGTCTCAGGTCCCAGGTGTGGGTTTCGAGCACGGGGACGTTTTGCGCTGCATAGTACAGACAATGAGTCATTGGTTATGAAAATTAGGCGATTCGTTATGACGGAAATGAGAATGGGAGTCGCATGACTTCAGAATACCGCTATAACCGACCATGAGATCACAAGTAAAACAATTGGCGGGCAAATATTTAAGACCATCAGGAAGCACCAAGATGCTCGCACATAACGATTTTGGGCTCCGGAAATACGCACCTATAAACGAACCACCTTTTAAAGGTTGAAGTACTAGAGGTGAGTCAGCCGTCCGCTAAGGTGACATTTTTGCACGGCCAGTCTGGCAGCGGCTTTGATGTTATACAGACTTTCCATGGCGCAATAAAACGATGACGTATTGAGATTGTTGTCCTGAGCAGCCTCTGCACTGAAAGGCGCTCCAATACTTACGAGTGAGCTTATTTCATGATATCTGACGCATGCCTCAATGCCTTCAAATGCGGAACATTTCAATCGTGCGTGTGAATGACAAGTTTATATATAACATGTACTGCTTAAGAAACTATCTTGATCTTGTGTCACGCGGGCCATTAGTTTCCAAGTAATTTCATGGAATCAGACAATCAAGCTTAAAGGGGTGTGATTAATCACGTGTGCTTTAAAGCACACCACGTCTCTTTAAACTTCGAAACAAATAGGACGTCATCCTTTCAAACTTACGGGCGTGCACCATACCGCGCGCCAATGACGAATACAAGGTGCGCAAGAAGAGACTGACTTCAAGCTCAGAAATATATCTGAATGGATCCAATGCACCTGCAACCGCGCCAATCTAAGAGTATTTTTCTCCGACAAGTTGTGTCTAGCATGTGTAATCCTTTGCTATTTGTTACTATCGTTCTCGCGCTATTTAACAGCTCTTAAAAGCTGTACTGCTTTAGCAGTGTCAGACATCTTTTTCGCTATTCGCAGTTGCACAACCGAAGAACAACCCTGCCACCCCAATCCATTGCACATCGGGACCGGCCGGCTGGTCGTACCGGAAGTCGGCCACTGCACATCGTAGCCAGCCAGCTGGTCGTACCGGAGGTCGGCGGCCCCGGTCGGCGTGCCGCGTCGACCGTCGTCCACCAGCAGGAAGTGGGTGTGGTCCCCGTTCAGCGACACCGGCTCGTGAGGGCGCACTATGGTGGTGGCCTTGTACCTGCCGGCGGGTGGGTCACACACCGGGTCACGGGCCTGTGTTATCTATGGGGGCGACGAGAGGCTACACGGGTCACCTCCGGTCACCTCCGCTCTGCGAGTCACTTGTCAGCGGGGAGACCACGGTCACGACGTCAGTGTACACGGTACACGACGTCAGTGTACACGGGGTGTACGTCAGTGTACACGGGGTGTACGTCAGTGTACACGGGGTGTACGGCAGTGTTCAGGTGTCAGGTGACGGTACGCGGGGTGTTGGGTCAGCCGGTGGGTCGAACGGTATGCCGTCTGCTGGGCAAAGAACTGAGCTGCGACCGGTGCAGCAAACCGAACGATTAATATGTGTGTATATATATATATATATATATATATATATATATATATATATATATATATATATATATATATATATATATATATATGCCTGAACTTGACATCCGACTCACAGTTGGCAGACCCATGGAATGAAACAAGCACATCGACACAGACACCAGGCGAACACTATTGCTATTTGGTTATATATGTATGTATACATGTATATAATATAAATTTATGAATCACAATCGACATTCGAGATTTAGGAACATCCGATAATTTTAAAGAATTTGACGTTTGAAGATTGGCTTTTACCTTTGCATAGGGTACACTTTTCTTACAAAACGCACAGCCCTTTTTTGCAGAATTACTAACCTATCTGGTTGAAAAGCATGATTAAAACCCCAAATCAGGTAGGAATAGCTCAACTAAACCTTTTCTGAGCTATATTATGAGCCCAAAGTTATTATGCTTATTTAACATATTCTAATTATACCAGGAGATGCTGGTTAAACGACGATATGAACAACGATTATATTGAGTATCGCCGATATAGTCATTGTTTAGCACTATATACGTAATTTAACAAGTATTCTCTAGTATATTGAGGGTCGTTAATTCAGCATAAAACTTTTGACTCATAATGCCAAAAAAGATGACGGCACCTATTTCTTATATCAAACCTATCTATAGAGCATAATCTAACATCACCCAAACATTTTTCGCACTGACTTCGAGGCCTAAAATTGCTTTCGAATCAATGGTTTCCTTTTGAAGGCTGTTCGTTCGTTCATTTGTAGTTTCATTGATCCTTGATATATTTTCTCGTTTGAGCCCTTTGACGCACCTACTCTTCGAACGCATTTTCTTTTGGTTCGGACTCTGAGAGATTTAAGCGCTAGTTGATCATCCTTCTCTTCAAATGCCATCCATCTTAAGATCCTAGGATTACTTTGAATAATGCCTATACAGTAGGTGCCCTCTTCAAACATAAGGATCAGGTACACAGATGTTTTGAATCAACTGTAGGCTCCGGGTTTTGATGTGCCTCACATAGGGCGCCGAGCATATGTCACATCGGAACGTGCGCGGTCGCATTGAACAACATTTAGGTAAATCTATCCAGGCGTGAAAGCTTTCATTAAACCTCACCTTATACGAGAACGTTCTCCTTGTACGAGAACCTTCTCCTTACGCGAGAACCATTAAACCTTCTCCTTATACCAGAACATGGATTTGCATGTGACATCCTAATTTTGTCCGCCAATTTTGTCATTTGCCATTTCTTAAGAACGCTCAATATTGCAATCTTCATTGTCAGTAAGTGAACAATATTGGAGTTGAAGCCCTTACATTAAGTATGATTGCACGCTAGAAATATGCTGCAATATGACCCAGCATTGTGAGCAATGAAACGGACTGCTCGAACCTTGATGATTCTTTTAGCAGACTGTGCAGACTTACATGCGTACGAACTTTTGAAGTACGCATGATAATATTGGTAACTGGACTATGGAATGAATAAAGCGCTATTGCTAGTTAAACACTACCAGCTCGCAGGCGACCGGTACACACTTTATTTACCAATTTGTCACAGTCAGAATGATGGTGGATATGTAAAATTTACGTAATACACATTCATAATGGCGATCTGTTTTGTAGTTGCAGTGCATTGTTCCACCGGAGTTTCCACTAGCCAAAAAATATCATAGCTTGTGTTAAGACCGACAGTTTGCAGACCCAAGGTGCTGAAGGCTGCCAAATCGACACAAAACACCACGCGAACGATGGAGTTTCGACAGAACACGACGAACCCAATAGAGGCACTTGATGGGGCCAAAACGTAGATGCGGCAGGAACACAAACCCAGCAAAAACAAAACGCACGGTGCGTGGGCACCGCTGAAGAGAAAGTTTGCCCGGATGGTCGCCGGAACGAGCCTCTCTTAACGCCAGCCACGTCAGTTAAGGGCCTCTCTTAACACCAGCCACGCCAGTTAAGGGCCTCTCTTAACACCTGCCACGCCAGTTGAGGGCTTCTCTTAACGTCAGCCACGCCAATTAAGAGCCTTTCTTAACGCCAGCCATGCCAATTAAGACGCAAGTCGGCGTAGTCATTAGCGAAAGCAACAAATTCTCATTTCATTTTCAACCTCGACCCGAGCACAGCAGGAACAACATAGACGCATCTGTCTCAGAGATGACTGAAGGCGGTCAAGTACTCTATACAAATCAACTGAGCAAAAGGCCTGGCTTTACGTTCTTCACCCCGTGCGATGCCCTTGCAGTAGTGGGCCTCGGCTTGACGCGGTAGTGCGTGATGCGTCAGCGAGTGTGAGTGATGCAGTGTAGCTGCAAGTATGAGCACGGATGGCGGTGGACCTACACAGATTGTCAGTCAGTTGGTCGGACGGTGCATTATGAATGCATGACTAAAAAGGGCCGCGTACGTCTTGTATCGACCTGCAAGTGAATTATGCAGGCGGGAATGAGTGGTGCGATAGTGCCTCGTAGCAGTCTTTACCGTAAGGACACTTAACACCTTAACGCTTAAGAAGTAAACACCCTAGCTGAAATGAAGTAGTACGCAATGTGATGCGTTGCAATGGGAGACATTGCTGCGAAAAGGTGGCATTATGGTGAGAGCAGCTCCGCGGCTGCGCGTGTAAGCGTCTCACACAAACGCCACCCGTCCTGCTCAGCTCGCACTCACGATGCGTATTGGAAGTTGGCGTCCTTGTTGATGAGCAGTTCCTTGTCCCGCACATAGCCCCAGGCGCAGATCCCGATGCATCGAATGCCGCGGGTCATCTTGCCTCCGGCACCCTGCGGGACACGGCCGTGCAGCCCGAAGCCGGGCGGACTACTCCAAGCGTCGGCGGCGAGACGGACCGAGCGCCGCGCAGGTGGCCACCAAAGCCGTTCACAGAGCAAGAAAACAGAGTCAACCGTCATGCTCGGTTACACGAGCCCGCTGTCTGCAAACGCTCATTCACACGGCGTTGAGGCCTTTCGCTCAAGCGGAGAGCCTTCCCGAGTATGCTTGGTATGAGAGTGGCACCGCTGTCCTCTGCGTGGACAAGCAAAACGGCACGTACAACATGTATCTGAGGCCAATGCTACAGACACCCACAGCGCTCAGATCAACCAAAGGACATCAGTCACGTGGGTGTGATCTCCTGGAGGTGTCTGCTGGGCATATAGCCTTTCATGGTCAGTCCATGTTGCGCAGGTACCATGCCACTGGGCACCATCAGAGGTATGCAGCTGCCGTCACTTATACACGCACCGTTATTAGGTACCATGCCACTGGGCACCATCAGAGGCATGCAGCTGCCGTCGCTCGTACACGCACCGTTATTAGATACTGGCCTTCGTTGATGGCGTCGCCTATGACCTTCATGTAGCCCATGTTGAAAGCTCCGGTAATTAGCCAGGCGTGCGTAGATTTGGCGGCCTGCAAGTTGTGTACACGAGGCCAGAATTAAACATTGGGTTGTTGCTCAGAAATTACACTGGGACGTAGTGCGCGAATGCGCTAGCGTCATTCTGTTCCGCAAGCATGAACTATGCAGGCTGCCGTGTTGCAGTACGGACCTCATTTCTCAGACGTCAGGTGCGTGTCAGCAGCACAGGTGAACGGTGCAGGGGCAAGGACACTTATCAGTGAAATCATCCTAATGCCCCGAAAATGGATGTGTTTTCCGGCATATGCAGTTCAAATTTCAAGAAGCGCGATGACCGAGCATACAGAAGGCATCATTGACAGCCGCCGGTAGGATGTTCAGGTGTCAGCGGCCAGGCAGCGCACGTTCCCCTCCTTACCCCTCCCGAGCCCTGACCCATTCTCGGCGAGCCCAGCGAGCGACCCCACCTTGAGCAGCCCCTCGTTGAAGATCTGCTTTTTGCGGCCGTCGAGCCGGAAGTTCTTGGCACCGCCCAGTATCGAAATGACCAGACTGGGCCGGTTTGGCTGGCACAGCTGCCAGTGGTCCACCATCAGCGTCAGCACGGACGCCACCGGCGTCGTGTCCGCCAGACGCACGTACTTGGACGGCTTGCTCGACCCCGTGTCCTGGTTGACGAAGTCCACCTGGCCGTAGGCGTTCGTCTTGAACTCCTGGATGGCGTTGGTGGTCGACCACGCCTCCTCGGCGATGGAGGCGGGTGACGCGTTGCGGTGCTCGACTGTCTTCGCGCCGCACAGACAGCGCGACGGGTCGCCAGTCCGCGGCTCTAGCAGCACGCACTCCTTGCGCTGGAAGCTCGAGCCGATGAAGTTGAGTCGCAGCTGGCGCTGGCGCTCACCCTCGCTGATCTTGACGAGCGTGCGCCCGGTGCGGCGCGACAGGCCGATCTTCTTGCGCTTCAGCGCCCATGTCTGGTCGTCCAGCTCCTGGATGGGGCCCTCCGGGTTGCCGTCCTCCAGCGAGGTGAGCGAGGCGCGGATCGAGGACCGCAGGCTGCTGCGGATGGTGTCGCGCCGGTGGAAACTGGGGGCCGAAGGTCCCGTCAGCACGACCTTTACACGTGCACGCGCGTGGGACGCGTTGGACGATTGTACCCCACGCACCGGTCAAGACTGGTGGGGAGTCAGCACCTGCACGGCCGCCCCCGCGAGCAACGGACAAGTCAGCAGGCCATTGTGCCCCACGCACAGGGCTTAGACTAGTCGGAACAGTTGGCCCAGTACACACACGCAGGGGAAGAATTGGTGGGCAGTGGTACTCCAGACCGCCACCAGGCCAGAAAGACCACCTGGAGAAGCTTCACTGTTGCTGCCGCTGCTGCTGCCGCTGCTGCTGTGGCGGCGTAACGCTGACGGCAGGACTGGAGAGAATTGTGGAAAATTGTGCATTGTTGGGGGGGGGGGGGGCAGGAAGTGAAAGCGTGGTGTTAAGATTTCCCCTTCTCTTCACGACGCAGTTTCTTTCAAACCCTCTTCAGGTCGTTCGTCTAGAAATTTCGAATGCCCTAAGCAGTAAAGTGTTCTGCCTGATCCAAATAGCGTAACCATCTATATTCCCCAGCTGGCCATCTGGACAGTGCCTTCCATCCTCATGAACTCCGTTGCATTCCCATTATGTTCTTGGTGCTTAGTTGTGCGTTACAAGATGCGTATAAGAACAGAGCACATCGGACCGGTGTCAATAGCCCACACAGCAAGAGCGGAACAATAGTGGAGTCAGGGACCGATGCGTCGACTGCACACACAACAGATTGATGTGGGAGCCATGGTAGGCAGGACATGTTCATGAGACAATTTGGTAAAAAAGCAAGGCATCCCGCTCACATATACGCAAACGGAACAAGCAGCGCCGTGGTTACGAACCACAATGCAGTAGAAGCTGATATGTAGGCGGGAGACCAACTATTATGGCAGCACTCTTTGGAAACTAGCTATCAGCTCGGCGTCCGCGCGGGGCTGGCTGGAGGAAATTGAAACATTCAGTGCAGTAGGCTGCACACACAGATGCAAACGCACACAAGCGCAAGCAGCTTGCCTTTTCACAGCTACTGGTGGGTATGGAAAACCTTTTGTGACCACGCACGTCATACGGTGACCTTCAGGTCCTGGTGTTCCTTGCCCAGCAACGTTAATATGATTAATGGCGAGCCGTGCCCGGTACATCAATAAATGCAGAGCGTTCTTCATGTCTGTGACCAGCACCGCATGTGCATTGAGCCAGGCTGCCAACACATGACAATTGTTGTCGACGGCGTGCTGCGTACGTGGTGCCCATGTGTAGTTCTTTTTACATGGTGACAAAACCCACGATTCTATGACACGATGACACAGATTCCTGTCATCGATTTACATACCTGGGCGATGATGAACAGGCATTCCCCTTCAGAGCTTACAGTTCATTGTTTTGCTTGCGGTGAATGTGGATCATGGGAATTTCTGGGGGGGGGGGGGGGGCAGTAGCCCCTTTCACGCTCATATTTTTAGATAGTGGCATAAGGTCCAAATCTGAGGTACACGAGCAGCATGATGAAATGGAAGGAAACCATCGTTTGGCGTCAAGTCAATCAGAATGGTCGGAACTAAAGTCTTTCATTACCGTTTTTGTTTCACCAGTATGTACATACTAGCCTTGTTATCTCTTAACGCGTGCAAATTAGGTAACACGAGGCCAAGTCATATGACACCACAAGTTTGAAATAACGACAAGTGCATGGTCATAAAAACCATTTCGTTGATGAAATTTACCACCTGTTTCAATGCAACAGCAAAACATCCATGTCATTCACCTCTGTTTAGCCCAGCCTTCGCGCATTTACGATTTGTTGCAGATAACTCTGGCATGTTTCGGGCTATTTTGCTCACAGTTTTACGAAGCTAATTTAATTGTAGCATCCGACCGGATTATTTCGACCGTCGCCGTAGTGATAAACCTTTGTGCTATCACACTCGCGCCAGACAACTGTCCCTCTGGAGAGCATAACTGAACAAGCAACCACCCAAAAAAACAAAGCATTTCAGACACCTATCTGTTTTGTAAAGCACTACGAGGGGGGCGTAGCGCGCATCTGTTACATCTTAAAGCGGTTGTCTAGGCACAAGCATGCAAGCGCGCTCAAAACTAAGGTGCATCATGAGCTACGCCCATTTTCCTGAAATGAAGCCAGTCCAGCGATAAAAGACGTCAACGGCAGTCACCGGTGCATTTCACCGAATGTTTACGTTATTAAGTGATACTGCTGTTAGAGGTAGGTGGTGCGTCGAACATCACCGTTAGTTGCACCTTATACTACGGTGGAAACAATGTGCTCGAGCTATCGTCCCCGCCCGGCGTGTTAGTATGTACAGAACGTCTCGGCCAGCTACGTTTCCGGCGGCTGCAAGGTGTTGTTGCGTCCGGATAAGGCTTGGACGGCGTCCAGCTTTCAGCCATGTATAGGCCACAACCCGAATTATCTCCTTGGCATCGTTGGACTTTGAAATGGGGTCTTCTCATTGTGAGCCCAGTATTCCGCCAACCGAGCTAACCGGAAGGATCCTGGTAAGGTCTTTATCGGCGACTTCCCGACGACGGCCGGAGAAATGGCTGCCCGAAACGCTGTATGCATCCTGCCGCACCTTATAAGAATGATAGCCCGAGCGATTATTCCATTATTGATACTGATGTCTCGTCTCAACCTTTATAACCGCACCTTACAACTTTCAGTTGCCTTCGGCCTTCACAACGTCAAAGCAGAACCGTTATCTTTCGAAGAGAAGAGATCTTCCATACTCCGCTGCTGTAAAATCTTCGACAACTTCTTTGTAGTTCGCCGTGCTTACCAAGCAGTTCAATTTAAATTCTTTGTTTGAGCCGCCTGAAAGTTGTTGCAGTCATATAATAACTACTGTAGTTCAGACTTGATCGGGATGTCAAAAACGATGAAATATATAAATAAAAGTAAAAATGTTGCATCAGGATCGGTCATTTGTCTTGTTTCATGTTACAACCACCTTGGATCATCTTGGGAAGCCAACAACGTCGCAAAAGTTACTTACGGCAGGATCAAATTTTGTTCAGTTGATCCGAAAGGCACCCGAATTTACCAGTTGTTCTAGCTATGGAACAGCAATCTGCATGCGTAGTCAAAGTCCGCATTTAAAGATTATTTTTCATCTGAGTTTTAAACAGTGATTTGTGAAGAAAACTTATATCACATGAACACACTGTCTATTTTAATAGCACAATGCCCACACCTGCTATTACTTTGCTTTCCATCAATCCTAAATAACATATATCCTATGCACAAATCATGCCAGCTCGGATGGGGTGCAGATAACTGTTTGTCATGTACCTAGTGGAGTG